CTTGAACTTGCATGTGGGATATGAAACAAAAACACTTTTTGGATTGGTATTGTCAGACTACTAACACCTTCCTCTCCCTATTGGGTATCTGCACTTACATACCACTTTGAGATTAGTAGTCCTGTGATTTGTACCCAACCCAGAGGCATTTGCCCTTTTGGTGTAATATTTCACATTATCTAGTCTCCTTTGCCATTAAAATAGAAAATAGATCTCCTACCTCTTGTCCTGGTTCTGTTGTTTTATAATCACTGCCACTTGTTTTGTAGCTCACCCTTAACTAACTCATACATCTGCTCCTAATTTTATTGAGGTTGGGATATTGTTTAAATAATTGGAATTTTGAAATAATTGATTAGTAACCTGAAGTCATATCATGGGGAGCACTTTAGAATAATTATTGGTGTTATTTCAGCACTTCAGAATTGTTGTGGCATCATTCTTTATTTGGAATTTTCTTAACAAATTTAGAAGGTGATTCTTTCCCTCCTTATCCATCAGTTCTTCACTAGGGTAGTTTCAATTTACAGTAAGACAAGACAGGTAGACTAGGAGTAGAAGCTTGGGGAAGTTTGTTTAATAGATGGAAGTACATACCATGAAAAAGCGGATTCTCTACAGTTGAACCTCAAGCTTTTGTATGTTACAGTCACATTCCATATCCAGTAGACTGTGCAACTCAGCAGTAAAAGGGAGTTATGATTTCTTCCCTTGATTTACATTTGTCTGTAAGGTGGGAGCATATTCTGGTCTAGCTGGATCCAGAGGTTTGAGTTTAAGGAAGATGTTCTTGATGCAGAAATAAGAAGAAACCTTTAAGTCTTACTATTTTGCAGTACTGATTCCTGGCTACACAAATCACTGTAGTGGGTTGTCTTGGACAAAATAAGTGTGATACTTCTTGAATGTGTAGAAGTACTGTCACTTGAGCGTGCGACTGTTGTAATATTGTATTCATGCTACAATTATGATGGCATCAGATTTTCAACTAGAAAGTGTTGGGGGTACATTTGCTTTTAAAAGGAGATGCGGAATACTTTTCAGACTAGAGCTTGGTACATAGGATTTTAGTTTCTGCTGGTGTTGGTATCATTTCCAGTTATGTGCAATCTCCTTCATCGATATTGCTGTGCTTGTGTAATGCATGTGTAATAGATTATGAGCCACTGTTTTTTAGTATGTACTGTGAAGTAAAAATAGTTAAACATCAAAAATCTAAGCTACTAGCATAGTAAATATTATGAGTTGTCTTGTGACAGTCAATTTATTGTCTTTCTCTGGTATAGATCCAAAATTAACATCCAGAATGAACGGAATAAAATTCAGTTTGGCAACACAGCCACTGAATAGTATAAACATATTGGGGGGAACTTTTACAAACATCGAACTTGGTTTTTTTCTGTACATTAGTCATTTCTGTGCATTCCTTATGTAATAAATACATGTGAAGGAAAGTCATACAGAGAATATTTATTACTCTGAAAGCATGTGTGTTATTATATTTGAGATTCTCCAAGGACAGTTCATGCTGCAAGGACAAATTTAAGGGCTATTGCATTCTCAAGGTCAGCACCAAAACTTGTTATCAGCCAGATAACTCTTGTTCCTTGCAAATTTCTTTTTTTTTTTTACATGATTTATTCCATAATTATTCATAATTAATAATAGTATTGTCTTAGCTGTGAGTTTGCAGTAGCTTCTTTAGCTTATAGTGGGTAAAATATGGATGAGGAAATGAATTTAAATATCTACATTATTTACTGATACAAGAATGAACATCTACAGCTGTGTTCTTGAAGTAGTTACCAAGTTTCATTTATGCAGTTTCATGGTTGATTCAACCAGATGAAAATTTATGCTATTGCCAGCAGGGATGGTGATGCATTCCCTCCCTCTTCCCCAAGTGCCAGCACTTGTATTTATGTAGCCACAGGCTAAGCTGGATCAGCCTTACCTGGCTGAAAACGAATACAGGCAGAAATATAAATAGACGCAAAGAGTAATTTTCTACTGAGTTAGTTCCAGACTTACGGTGAGATACCAGTTTCCAGACTCTTAGAGATAGGTATCTCAAACCCTATAAAAGAAAGGAGAGTGAATTTCTGAAGATCGAACTTGATTTGAACATGGAAACAGTGAGATGCAGTCATACTGCGCAAATTTCTTTTATATTACAAATTTATATTACAAAGGCTCTGCAGAGGGACCTGGACAGGCTGGATCGATGGGCCGAGGCCAACTGTATGAGATTCAACAAGGCCAAGTGCCGGGTCCTGCACTTCGGCCACAACAACCCCATGCAGTGCTACAGGCTTGGGGAAGAGTGGCTGGAAAGCTGCCTGGTGGAAAAGGACCTGGGGGTGTTGGCCGACAGCCGGCTGAACATGAGCCGGCAGTGTGCCCAGGTGGCCAAGAAGGCCAATGGCATCCTGGCCTGTGTCAGAAATAGTGTGGCCAGCAGGAGTAGGGAAGTGATCGTGCCCCTGTACTCGGCACTGGTGAGGCCACACCTCGAATACTGTGTTCAGTTTTGGGCCCCTCACTACAAGAAGGACGTTGAGGTGCTGGAGCATGTCCAGAGAAGGGCAATGAGGCTGGTGAAGGGTCTGGAGAACAAGTCTTATGAGGAGCAGCTGAGGGAACTGGGGTTGTTTAGCCTGGAGAAAAGGAGGCTGAGGGGAGACCTCATCGCTCTCTACAACTACCTGAAAGGAGGTTGTAGCGAGGTGGGTGTTGGTCTCTTCTCCCAAGTAACTGGCAATAGGACGAGAGGAAATGGCCTCAAGTTGCGCCAGGGGAGGTTTAAATTGGACGTGAGGAAAAATGTCTTTACTGAAGGAGTGGTTAAACATTGGAACAGGCTGCCCAGGGAAGTGGTTGAGTCACCATCCCTGGAAGTATTTAAAAGACATGTAGATGCAGCGCTTAGGGCCATGGTTTAGTGGGCATGGTGGTGTTGGGTTGACGGTTGGACTCAATGAAGTTAGAGGTCTTTTCCAACCTTAATGATTCTATGATTCTCTATAAAATGTATTTCTTAACTGGAATCACTGCCCTACACTATGAAGCAAGATTGTTCCAGTGTGATCTCAGCTATGGGTAGCTAGAAAGAGTGGATTTAGAAATGTGAGGAGTAGGAGCATTTTGTCCTTTAACAAACTCATGTATGTAAAACATAGGGGTTTCATCATTATATTTCACTATCCTATACGTTTGCAGTTGGTGCAGTGGTTAGCGTAGTTAGTTAAAACCAAAGAGGCTTTGTGTTTCCAAAGTACATACTCCCCTTCATGCATTACTTGTTAGAAAGGAATTTACATTATATTTATGCTTTGAAGTGTTTAGAGGATGTTGTGGGTTGCTTACTAGGCTGATGTGCCTTTGTTCGAATGTTTGACTGTTGATTACATAATGGTTGTAGTAGTTTTAATTTAGTGATAGAAGGTAGGTGTAGCTTCCTCTTCTTCTGTCTTCTGTTTCACAGTGTATAGATATCACCATTTTAGTCTAGCTGCTGTTCTCTCTTATTTTAATGGCTTCCAAAATATTAATTAATATTATAAACCAAGCTATTATTTGGCATCTTTTACTGTTGTCTCTGTGTCTACACATACTGCAGCAAAAAGGTATGCTAAACCATGGCTGAATTTTATGGCTTTGTAGACCAAATGTTATGCATGACCCAGGTCCTACACCTCCAGAGTTTTTTCTCTTTTGGCAGACCTTCCACCATTTCCTCTGTGCTTGCCAACAACAGTCTAGGCTAAACTACTCAAGTCATGCTCCATATCAATTCTTTTTCCTTCTATATCTGACAGTTCTGCCTCTTGGCCATTTCCAAGACTTTATGTGCACCTCTTCTGTATTTCCGGTGTTTCAAGATTTACATTGGGATTGAAATCTGATCTCTGATGCTGTTTTGTAAAGAGAGTGGAAAGAAAGCTTGCATTGCCCTTGTGGGAGGAGGTGTCCTCGCTTCCAAGCATGTGCAGAGAATTCTCATGAGTGTTTTTCCTTATGCTTTCTCCCATCGTGCAAGTGCATAAATAATTAGACTAAAACACTAAAGACTAATTAGACTAAAGAGTAAAAGCTCTAAAACTTGTTAAGAGTGGGTCCTCTGAGTTTAAAAATAAGTAAATAGAAATGGATTATGCCTACTTCCATTCTCAGTTAAATAATACATTCAGTATTGTTCCCCCATAGGAACAGTTCTGCATCCTGTACCACCTATGGTAATTCTGAAGCAGTTAATACCCCTCGGGAGTCCTATAAGAGTGGTGATGAAGCCAGACAGGCTAAGCTAATTGTGCTGTTTGTACATGCACAGTGTTACCCATTTGGATCATGAATCTTAGACTTGTATCTTTGGGGAAATCCTTTTTTTGTTCTGTATGCTATCTCTAATATTTTTTTCACAGAAGGCCAACATTTGGTTTTTTGGCTCACAGGTGACATACCAGCTTTTTTGAGTGTAGATAAACGTGTATCTTTGAATAATTGAAAAGCTGACTTCTACACAAAGGAGGTTTTCAACCTTAATTTTTGGATCTGTGTTGTGTTTACGTTTTCCTTATTATGGCTTTTGCCATAGAAGTCCTTTTTTATTTCATTTCAAAATTGAAAACTACAAGATTGTAATATATCCTTATTTAGTAGGGCTTAATTTGGAACTTCAGAAGAGTTTAATGGAAGAAGTCTTGAAAGTGTGTGGTATAGATGACAAATTCTGGTCTCGCTGCAAATGTATGATAATAAAACTATTGCAAAGATCCTTAATATTTTTTGAAGGAAAATGTTAATGAATCAAACAAGTGTTAAGAAACTTACATTCAGAAATTTAAAATTTCTATTTATTTTTCATCATTATAAACCAAATATCAGTGAATGATATGTGGAATATTGTCCTAGATAAATCTCACATGCTATAATGTTGAGTATAATAAATTAATTTTCAAGCATGGTTGATTTGAAATTTGACTTAGTTTTTGTTTTAAAAGGTGCAGAAGATGAAACAAGCTCAGTAATGCAATATCCAACACAGTATATTAATCAAGATCCTTATTTGCACCAAGATGATGACCAGCAACAAGGATGGGTTTCTTGGGCTTGGTCTTTTGTTCCTGCTATTGTGAGTTACGATGATGAAGAGAATGATTCTAGTGGAATTGATGATGGAACAACGCTACATCAGCAGAAATCTCAATCCCTCAAGGATCCTATTATTTCAATTGGGTTTTACTGTACAAAGGCAACAGTGACTTTTAAGGTAAGTATTTCTGTGTCATGTAGGATTTATTTGGCTTGTTGAGAAAATGTGTAAAGATTGAGTGCTTGTCTACTGTTTGATTCGAGACAGGGAATATTACATTAATGAATAACAAAAAATGTGAATGTTGAAAGTTCCTCTCGCATCATAATGTATTGTTAATTGCAATGTGTGGTGGTTTTGCTATTTGAGGTAGAATTTGAGTACAAACATTTTAATTTTAAATAGAAACCACTTGATTTACTTAAATTAAGGTTTTTTGATGGGAGAAAAAGCTTAAAAGGCTTTCCATGAATGTTTATTGCAGTATTCTATGCATCTATTGTTTATATAAATATACTTCTTTATAAAAAAGCTTTAGCTTCATATAGCTTGTGAATTGGAGGAATATTTTTTATTTTTTAAACTATAATATGTGCAAATATGAATTTAAATTGATAACGTTGAAATTATTTTCCATGGGTTGGAATTGAATTAAAGAAACAAAGGATAAATTACACATATACTCTTACATATGTAGAGAAAGATTTGAGTATTTTCTGTAAACAAATCTCAGAGTAGTTGCTTGGCTTCTCTCTACTCGTTTTGTAAACTGCAGAAGGGAATATGGAGAGTCTGAATAAGATATTGAGATGTACTGACAGAAATTGAAAATTAAGGTTCTGAATTAGCAAAATACTTTTTACATGTGCCAAACTATATGCAAGCAATTCTATGTGCATAACTATAATAGTAAGTGGCTCTTGGTTTTACAATTAAACCAATATTAAATCAAGGGCAGAACTCCTCAGAACAGGGAATAATACTATTTCTATGAGCAGCAGAATAACTAAGGTTGATTTTTATGACTTTGAGCCTTTCAGATGAACTGCAGTACTTTCATAAACCTCATATAATGTTTATGTGCCTGATTATATACTCAATACTATCAGCAATCCCTGTCCCTTTTCTGCCCGTTTGGCTTGTCATCTGTGCACAAGAGTGTTTTGAGTGGCTTCATGGCTACTTTCTCTTAGCTATTTTCATTTGGTGGCATAGCAGAGCATTTAGCTGCTCAGCAACTGTCAGAAAGGATGAGATGAGTGACTTTGGGAGCTGCAGGCATTCTGTGGGGAGGTTAATGTTTTAAGCCTCCAGTCTCCTGGCAAATCTGGTTGCAAAATTTGAGGACATAAAGTGTCAACTGACATTCAGTCATGTTCTTTTGTGTCAATCTGCTTCAGTCTTCATTTAAAAAAAAAAAAAAAAAAGGCTAAAAATAAATAATGGAAAATCTTTTCTTCCTCCTTTAATTATATCCCTGGCATACTGCTTAAAAAAAAATGAAAACCAATCAAAACTCAAATTTCTCATTTATCATGGCTCAGCATCTTCTTTCTTTTGCACTTTGTCATACAGTAGTAATTTTGTGCGCTCTTTCCTTACGTGAGAAAACTCATTAAAAATAATATGAACTTCTTTTTTGAGCAAGATTTGCTGGATTGGGCTTTCCTAATGTTTCATTGGGAAGCTTACACATTTTATATTAGGAAGTGATAAAACTTACTTAAAATGTAACATCTTACATTCTATAAATTTTAAATGTGAAGTGATGTATGATACTAATATGGTGACAGTTACGAGGAAAACAGAATTCATTGTTCTGCTTGCATGCAAAGAATGTATGGAATTAATTTGTGGTTCATATTTTGGTTAAAAAATAAGGTCAAGTTTCTGCATTAGCATTCTGAACAGTTGATATCATTCCAGCTAAAAATCATGCTAAATTAAATGTAGCATTTTCTAATAATGGTGAAAATGATTCTTGTAATGTCTGAGTTCTTTTAATCAATTAATTGCTTTTCCTCTACAATAATTGCACACAGCTGAAGGGTGATCAGTGATTTTTTTAAATCCAATTTTCTTGGACATTTGGGTTACAAAATTTTAATTTATAACAACATCCATGTGTATCTACTCTTGAAAGTAATGAGAGCTTGTGGAAATTTTTATATAAAAATTAGAATTTGAACTATTTAAACTGTTCAACATAACTATTTTTTTTAATGCAAAACATAACACCTTCATTATTTTGTGCTTCTTTTTTCCTTTTTCTTAGCTGCGGGTTATATGCTTTTTAACCTGAGTGCATGTGTTTTGCCACTTTAAGTTTTTATATAAAAATCATGCAAGAAATATAAATGCATGTTTCTCTCAATTGCCATGACAAGAAACAAAAATGAGTATGGTTGTAATCAAAATGTTTCCTTAATGTTATCATGCTGTTTAATTATTTGCTGGGAAGAATAAATAATGTATTTACGGATTTTTACAGCAATTTATAAGCTAATTTGATACTATGTTAATAATGCAGCTGTGTATCTGCTTCATCTTTTCACATAGTGTCTCTTTAGATAAGCAAACTAAAAATACTATAGTGGATTTAAAACTTTCTGTTATGGCATACTTCAACCAGAAGTTGAATATGAGAAGTTCTAATATGGATAATGTGTTACAGCTGTTGAACTGCACCTGTTTCCTGCTTGTTAATAAATTTTAGCCCATAATTTAATTTGTCTTCATCAGTTCTGTATATTAACGACATTACTGCTGTTTAATACTAATATTGACTTATATAAGGTGTTTATCCTATTGTTTCATAGCTCACTGAAATGCAAGCTGAAAGTAGTTATTACAGTCCTCAGAAAGTAAAATCCAAAGAAGTTATATGCTGGGAACAAGAAGGAACCACAGTTGAGGTAATTTTCCACTGACAGGTTTTTTTTTTTTTGGTTCATTATAAATACTGTAGTAAATAGTTACTAATAAAATGTTTTGAAATTATTTCATTACTGGTTGTTCATATTCTTTTATATTGGATGTGTTTATTGTAATAATGCCGTAGATAGAAATTCTCTAAATTTCTAGTGCTATAGTGATCGGACTCTAAAGTAATCCCTTCCTTCCAAGTGCACTGTTTGATTAACTTGCTGTTTATTAAAGCTCTAAATATATAAATCTAAACATATTTTGGTTCACTTTTCTCCATCTTTCTATTTCTCACGGAGTAGAATTCTTCAAAATATCACTTTTTTCCTCACTAGGTCCTTATGAAAGGTGAACTTTTCTTTGATTGCCAAATAGGTTTTGTTGGTTGCCAAGCTATGTGCCTTAAAGGAATTATGGGAATTAAAGACTTTGAAGAGAACATGAATAGGAGTGATGAAGTGAGTATATTGAAATATCAGTTGACTTGCTAAATAAGCAATTCTGGTATGCTTTATAATCATCATAGAATCATAGAATAGTTTGGGTTGGAGGGGACCTCTAAAGGTCATCTAGTCCAACCCCCCTGCCGTGGGCAGGGACATCTTCAACTAGATCAGGTTGCTCAGAGCCCCGTCCAACCTGACCTTGAATGTTTCCAGGGATGGGGCATCCACCACCTCTCTGGGCAACCTGTGCCAGTGTTTCACCACCCTCAGCATAAAAAATTTCTTCCTTATATCTATAGTCTGAATCTACCCTCTTTAGTTTAAAGCCATTCCCCCTTGTTCTGTCGCAACAGGCCCTGCTAAAAAGTCTGTCCCCATCTTTCTTACAAGCCCCCTTGAAGTACTGAAAGGCTGCAATAAGGTCTCCCCGAAGCCTTGTCTTCTCTAGGCAGAACAACCCCAACTCTCTCAACCTTTCTTCATAGGAGAGCTGTTCCATCCCCCTGATAATTTTCGTGGCCCTCTTCTGGACCCGCTCCAACAGGTCCATGTCTTTTCTTGTGCTGAGGGGTCCAGAGCTGGACGCAGTACTCCAGGTGGGGTCTCCCCAGAGCAGAGTAGAGGGGCAGAATCCCCTCCCTCAACCTGCTGGCCACGCTTCTTTTGATGCAGCCCAGGATACGACTGGCCTTCTGGGCTGCGAGCTCACATTGCTGGCTCATG